TTGTTATCTTTGTCGTTTTTTTAAATGTAATTCTAATCTGTGCAAAAAATAAATAAATAAATAAATAACCTGACCTACACCCCAGCTTAGCAGCAGCTTTTTATCAAGTAGTTTTTGTACTGCTGAGTTGAGTATCTTCTATACACATAGCAGCTTTAAAGGTTCAAACACACTTTTTACCCACGTGTGAAGCCAATACTAGCTGACATGAAAAATAATTACAACTTGCCCTCCATTTGGACCTCTCCGAAACCAAATGTTTGTTTTTTCTTCTTCTACTATATTTAAAAAAAATAAATAAATAAATAAATAAATAAATAATATATTCCATTTTGTGTTGTAGGCTGCTACAGTCACAAGAGGACCTTCCTGGCAGTTCTTCCTGCATTCCCTGCTGCGCTACAGCTGAACCTGCAGCCTCCTGCAAGTTATTCTGTACACACAGACATACTGTACATTTAACAGAAGGACCTTGTTTTACACTGTTTCTAACAGAGGACTAAACCAGTGCCTATGAGTTGTTTTTTACCAAATCAGACCCCTGTATGGGGCTTTGCTGGGACCTCTAAAGGCGTGTTTTCAAACTGTAAGGCATTTTAACTAGCACTGGATTGTTAAAGGGACTATTGTATGTGGTTGAGGTTGGAGTTGACTTAGGGTTCCTTTTGGAAAAACCTGCAGTATGATTTATTAATGAGGTAATATATTTGTAAACCATATTGTAGGACAAAAAACCTACAAACTCAAAACAGACTGTGTATGTGTGTGTTCATATGTTTTTAAAACTGATGTCAAAATCCATCCACAGACTGAATTCGAAATATAAATGTATGCACTTTGGGTGTTGAAGTGTTCAGGGGTGAGGCTACACTGGATGATGGTTTTTGAGTTCTATCTGCAGACAGACGAAACAAAACATTTAAGTTGGGTAGTACTTACTGTAGGTAGTAATACTGTTGCACTTTTTGTGTGTGTTTGGGTTGCTTGTAAGACAATTTGCAAGCCAAGCCACGGGGGACTGCAGATACATGTGACTGAAATTATGAATTTGTTCAATAACATTTGACTTGTCTGTGTGCATACACTTCCATATTTAGCTTAAAGCTGCAGTATGTAACTTTTATTAAAATAACCTTTTGTCATATTCACTGAAACTTTCACTGTATCCTGACAGTAGTCCATGAGACAGATAATCTGTGAAACAATCAGGTTCCTCTGATGACTCCTAGTGCTCCTAATGGTATTTGCAAGAATCCAGTGTGAGTGAGACTCAACAATCCGCTATCCTTCTCGGCGCTGATTGGTTGTTTTTGTTCGGGCCCGGTAGATTCTCGTAAATATAAGGAATGCTAGGAGAAGGTGATTTTCACAGGCCATTTTACACTTTTCACCCATTTCTCAATGATTCCCTTGATGTCTACAGGGGCCCAAATTTACAACCATAGGATGGCAGCAGGATGGCAGCAAAATGCCAACCTGTAAATTTGGAAATTGATTAGCCATCTTGTGGTGCTTGGATAATATAAGTTGAATGGTATTAAAGGGATTGAGTCATGTTGATTTGGCTCCCTTACTGATATTTGACATTTTCTAAATTAAGTCCTTCAGGCTGTTTGGTTTTAAATACATGCCAAATGTGGATGTTTACCTGAAATATTCTGGTGTTTTTTTTCTGCAAATCACATTAACTTTTTTTAAAGCATGCCTTTTTCTTTTTTCTTCAGTGTGCAGCAAGGTAAAAAAAAACAATGTCTTTCACATCTTAATGTCAAGCAGGTTTCATGTGTTTGAGTCAAGTTTGTAATGCATGAATGAATAAATGGAAACCAAAAGCTCCTGGAAGAAGGGCGTGAAAACATTCAAATATCTTTAATCATGGTATGTAAATGACACTTTATGTGTAATAAATGGGCTAAAATAAGCAAAAATAATGTTTGGCTTGTGTTTCAAAGACGCCCCTAAAGCAGACTTTCTTCCAGTGTCGCTTACAGACTGAAAAAATAGTTTTATAAATTGCCATTTCATTTAGTTTGATTTGTTTGTTTGCTTGAATGTACTATTTAATTTTTTTTATTTTGTGTGCGTCCAAAAGATGTGAAAAGATGTCTTAAGAATTGTTTTGGATTTATTACTACTACCTACATTTTGTGACATTAACACCAAAAACAGATTTATGTCTATGTAATAAATGTTTATGTAATTATAATAAAAATGGATGCTGTGATATTTTAAGTGTACTGAACCACTGCATTTATGTAAATGACTTATTGTTTTGCATAGCATTTAAAAACTGAATGTGACACTTCATTATGAAACAGTTTTACTGTAAAAGGATGGGAATGTTAGAATGAGAGTGGTGAATGTGTGTTTTTGAGAGTTGGTTCAATAAAGAGAAATGTTTAAATCATTTAATATCTGTAGTAGTCTGACTCATGTATCACAAAGATTTAACATACTTGGGCTTTTACCAAGGCAGTTGAGGGCTGGTTCAGAGCGAGTTCCCCAATCTCAAACCAACTAGCAGCTCTAGGCCAGGAATACTGGTTCCAGTGTGGCACCAACACGACTAGTCTTGAAACAAAAACTTCTAATAACGGGGCTGAGGGTGCCTTGTGGCCAGCCAATTATGTATTTATTAGCTGTTCACAAACATTGAGCTAGTTTGCTGTCTAGCTAGCTGTTCATGTAACGTTACTTGAGCAAGCACAACTACTAATTTCTCACATCAATGTTCCATTTGAAACATTGTAACTAATGTTACGTTGAGCTTTAGTAACACTGATATGAGAAATTAGTAGTTGTGTTTGCTCGGTTAATGTTAAATAAACAGCTAGCTCAATTTTGCGTTAGTAACTTTGTAACTAAGGGTATGTTTGAGGTTAGTAACAGAGAAAGAAATTAGTAGTATGCTTGCTGACTAGCTAGTTAGCGAGCTAGCATAACTTTGGTAACAGTAACATTGAAGTTGTATACAGTGGTTATGGTGGCCCTCTAGCCTATGGAAAAGCAAACTGGTTCTTTTAGATTTTCTTGAGTTAAACCAACTCAGACCCAATACCCAGAACTAGCACTAGATTCACGCTGGTGGAAAAGGGGGTGAGGTACCTGGCCTTGAATGTCCTTTCGCCCAAACCTGCTAAAGGGCAGCTTATTGAAAGTTGAACCCCCATAGACATTTTCAGACACAAATGGCTCACTCTTTTACATTTATATTGAAAAATATCAATGCAAATATGATTTTAGAAGAGAACATCCAGGTTATTGAGAAACTGATATAATCTCTTGATGCAATTACCACAATTTAATTTTCATAATAAAGAGTTAACTATACCTTCACATGTTTCACGGCCACTGTAGTTTCTCCCTCATGCTTGGAAAGGGAGGGTGAAGTGAGTGAGTTGCAATCTGCAACTACACCGCTAGGTGACACTAAATCCTACCCTGTAGACCTTTAAAGAGTCACTATAGTGGAATTGGAGCATTGTTAAATGAAGTTATATAACTACTGTAGGTTCGGGAATGGACACCACGCATTGAGCTCATCCCATTCCCGCACGAAAAAACGTAAGCACTCTCTAGTTTGGATAGAGGAACCACTAACCTAATTAGAGCTAAAGAGGAGACAGCTCTGCCATTCAGAGTCTCAACTTCTAGTTCCTTCCCATTTTCCATCTTTGTCCACAAGCTGGATTTCTCCCCTCATCCTTTGGCCCTCGGTCCTTCGTCCCATGTTAGGTTTATCTGGATCTGTGCTTTTCCAAGCAAGTAAAAATGTCACCTGTGAATAAGGTGTATGGGTCTCAGCCTCAGCCACCTTCAAAAATAACAACTTTACAGTGGCACTTCAAACTATGGGAAATCATATAGGATGTCTGCTCTTTACTGAGGGAAGGATAGAGTCAATGTGGAGTAATTTACCAGCAAATCTACAGCATATACAAACAATTTTCAAAAAACAGTCCATCCCTCCTGACATCCAATACTAATAGGAACTGATGTGATGTTTTTCTTAGGTTCTTTTTTTATTGGGCTGTTAGTTGTGAGGGTGTCAGCGTGGGGATGGTGGCTGGATGATGCAGAAGGCTGTGATGGGCACATGGCTGAATATCAGCAGAAATAAAAACAACATGCCACTGTGAATCAGTCAGAACACCACCAGAAGCCACAGCCGCACCCAGCATGCCATCCTCCTCTTGCTTGCGTTCTCTTGCTCTTTCTCTCCATGTGTGTTCTTTTTGTCCCTTTCTGGTTCACTTTGAAATGAAATTTGCTTAATTATTTCTTCGTTTTAGTACTCTCCATTCCTTCAGGGGTAAGAGGGGGGGTTCGCTGCAGAGGCAGAGCCACACGACATCAGAGTGCTATTTGCTTCTGCTTCTGCTTCTAAATGGAATTCAGCCATCATTGATCTTATTATTTTTGCCTGTTCTTTTCCAGCTGTCATATGGCAAATGTCTTCGGTAAAAAAGACCTATATGTTCTTAAGATTATGTATGTAAAAAATTGTTCCTTAGACGCTTTTGAAACACTGTTGAGAGAAGGTTAAGTCTGCTAATGGTTAAGGTAATTGTAAAAGGATTTCTATCACAAAATTAGGTAGAATCTAAAAAAGAGGTAAACAATTAATAACAATAAGGGATATGGCAATATTTTTGTATATTTCACATCTACTCTACTAAAGCTCCTACAAAGTCCCCCTCTATTAAAACACCAAAGTTTCTTCTTGTTCCTAAAGTGTGCTGTTTGAATGATGTATGTGTGAGTTTGACACAGTTCAATTTCAATTCTATTCAATTTTATTTGTATTGCGCAAAATCATAACAGAAGTTATCTCAGGACACTTTTCAAAATAGAGCAGGTCTACATCGAACTCCTTATAACATTATTTGCAGAGACCCAACAGTTCCCACTGAACTGTGAAACTGTGAAAATTAATGTTTTCACATTCATCTATGAGCATAACCTGTGACATCACAAATTATGCTTAACTTTCCTGTCCTGGTGGACATTTGCATCATGGTAAAATGCTCCTCTTGTCCTACTCCAATCACGGCCACTATGGTAAAATGTTCTCTCATCCTGCTGTCACACTTTGGCCCGCTTTACAAAACCACATTCTGAACCAATTAGTTCATAATTGAGTTACTCTGTGTGACCTGCTGGCATACATCTGTGTTTACAAGAGTGTTTTACTGCAGTGTCAGTGATTGTGTGTACTGTTGGTGTGGTGGGACACACCCTGGCGGATATAGCGTGACTTGAGAGTTCTGACTCTGGTTCCCTAAACCTCAAAGCTGGCCGCTGATGTGACACAAGCCTCTAGAGTGTGTAAGCCTGTATCAATCATTTCCAAAGCAACATGGATGCAGGCAGCTGTTTTTGAATAGATTGATTTGTTGAGCATTCTGTACCCCTTTCTAACAATGCTACGACTCCTACTCTCCATGCCAGGGAAAGATGATATCTCACTGGGGACAACACACACACACACGCACGCACGCACGCACGCACGCACACACACACACACTCCTGCCTTTATAGCTGCCCCAACTACAGTCTGTCAGTCAGCCTGTGTGACTGGGACCTGTGGTGTCGCCTGGCGAATCAATATGTGGTGTGTTAGTTTTCCCAAAAACTGAAAGCTTTAAGCGGCCTTGGCAAGGTCTCGTTACTCTCTCACGAAAGGCGGAAGCTTCCAAGATAATGGCGTGTTTTTTGTCTGGTTTAAAATTGGAATCCCTCTTGTCTCAACCACTCCAGTTTTTACAGGGGGACAATTTGACACCCACCTCCCAACTGAACTGAACTTCTCTTTCTCCGTGTTTTTATCAGGAACAGGGCAGGACTGAACCATCCATACCCACCATCGCTTGTCACCTCCTGTATTTTCAATCACTGTGTCAGCTTAAATGTATTCACTCTGAGCTATGTCCATGCAATTAGCCTAGAGTTACTAATAATCCTAATGCTGCATACCACTCCTCTTATCTTGCTTACACTCTCATTTCTAAAATTAAATATGGGATCAATCCAAAGTGAATTGCATGTTCCTGGTTGGTTCACCACAAGGCTTGAGTGTCAGCAAGTTTTTTTTGGTCCTAGATTGGTAGACTAAACCTTACAATGCGTCACTCCTAGCTTAAACAAGACTTGCTAGCGGTTCTGTAAGGCTGTTCCTAGGTGAAGCAGTGCTTTGAGCTAAATGCTGAAAATGCTAAAAACATCAACAATATGCAATACACATTTCCAGACTTTTTTGACTGGGGTGGCGCATATGGGGCACTGACTTATGCAGGGGTGGCATGAACTATGTGCCTCAGCTTTCCAGTCATTCCAAATTTATGCAATTCCAACATTGTTTATGGACCCCAGAACGCAAAATATTCAAATACACCAGGCAAAAATATTTTTTGCCCAAAACTGCATAAGAGTAGCATGAAGTGGTCTGTCAAGGGGAGACTTGTGTGTTCCCACGGAACCCATATTGAGGCTATTTATACGTTTAATACATTAAAGAAAGCTCAATGTCATTGGTGGTCAGAGGTAATATTTCTTCACATTTCCTTAGCCCTGCTGACGTCCTCAGTATCCTTAACAACCCCCCAAACCACTCCTATATTGTTCAAATTGGCCAAACAGATGCTGTAATATTGTCTATACAGATGATTATGCTTATTAACACTAATAATGCTCATTGCCCAACATATGCAAATTAGCATATGGCATTTTCTAAATGCTGGAAACCCATACTGTACATTTCTAACATAAAAGTTTGAGGTACTCAACATTTCTTAGTTCAGAATGGGGCTCTATTGGCTGGCGAATAGACATGTCATACAAAAACTAATACACAAGATATTTCAGGGAAAGTGGTTGACAGACTGACATTGCCATCTTTAGACCCATGCTGCTAGCAAAAAGCACAATTCAGTCACTGCTCTCCTGTTCCTACACCAAATATATTTCATCCATTTTTTCTCATTACATTTCACCTACATTTCTGTTCTGACCGATCCTAGGTCTGTTGAGTCTCATTTATAAGGCTGTGTCCCCTTCCTATTAGAATGACATGAGTCATCGTCAGAGGGTGAACATGGCCGTTTGTGTGGGTATGTTTGACCGTTTGTATCCTTTTCAGGCAGAGAGAATGGGAGGAGATGAAGAGGAAGAGAAAGTGGGGCCCAGTGGGTTCTCCCTTGAGGTTTAATTATAATTTGGCCTAATTGAGCTGTGAGCCCAAAGCAGAAATTGTAACCCCCCACTACTCTTGCTTTTCCCACTCTTGTCCAATCTCACTTATTCTTGTCCCTAGGGAAATGTAGTCCAAATCTTAAGGGCAGGCATCTTCTTTGGCATAACAAATTTATATCAATGTTATGAAAGCATGTACGCATTAACAGGACAATATACAAGATAACAAAGCCCCCTCTGATAATGAAGTCTGCTGGGGCCTCCAAACTCCTGTTCAGTTTATCTAAGGGACATGCTGCCCTAAATAACAGGATGCCTATAGGGGGTTGATGTTGGTGCTTGTGAATGGGTCACGCTAGTGGGATGTAAATGTGTCAAACCCAATCGGGCCCAAAGATCAACCTACTTGCTTTGTATTATTTGCATTAATTTCGTTTGAGTGCTGTAATGTCCCCATATAGACAATTAACCATGTCTTTGACATAGCTAAAAATACAAATTTACCTTGCAAACACTGCAATGAACACACTGGATAAATGATGTAGAACATATCTTGTTTATTGGTATTTGAAAGAAAAACTCTGCATTAATTTTGCCCTAATCTACAAAGAGGGCAAAGTGGGCCAAACCATGCTATTTAACCTTTGTGTCCATAATCAGTCAGGTTTTGACATTTTCGTCATCCTACCAAGCAAACTTGGTTAACATTATGACACAGGTGGTCATAATGTTCTGCAGCCCCATACCAACAAACTGATGCACTGTGTTCTGACCCCTTTCTATCAGAACCAGCATTAACTGTTTCAGCAGTTTGAGCTACAGTAGCTCGTCTGTTGGATCGGACCACACGGGCCAGCCTTCACCC